CCCACCCCACCCCCACCCCAACCCCCTATTCACTCTCTATTATTTCACATGTAATCTAACAATGGGTTTAGATAATGGCTATTGTATTTTTTGACTTATCGGGTATTTTTAAATGGTATATTTAGAATATATTTTGTTCCTTTAATGTACTTCCAGATTGATTGTGATGTCATCAACGATTTGACAGACACAGAACTCCGGGATTACCTTCCATTTAGAGGTGATAGACTTGCACTTAAATCATTTGTACATAAAAAGTTAACAGAGTCTGAAGGTAGGAAGAAGAAAATGTCCTTGTTGGAAAACTTGAAAAATCGGATGAAGTTTTCGCAGTCAAATTCGACCTGTACTGCGGATGACGACCAGAGTGCCTCTAATCGTAAAGAGAAACTTAAGTTCACCAAAACCAGAACGCAGGCTGATATTGCCTCAAAGAAGGACGTAGCGGTGGTTGTGGATTCTCCATCTCCGAGCATGCAGAGGACAATTACAGACAAGTTCGATCGCCATTGGGTGGAGGAATAAGGCATCTCCGTGTTCACAAATATACGTCAAAGGCAGAACTTATAATCAAGTTACGCTCGCTGTTTTTCCCAGACGGTACAAATGTCCATGGTGCTGTTGAAGATTTCGACTTTGACATATCGACAGATGTGCACGGAACACAATTCATGCGTGTAAATGAAAATGTAGATGAGATCATGAAGCGTTTGGGTCTGAAGCACTTCAGATACTATCTTTTAGCAAAGAACTCTGAAAAAGATGAAAATTTACCGCAACTGGCCTCCAAAAAAATGCGACCAACTAAAAGTAATGATCCTGTCAAAAACGACACTGATATGGTACAGGACTACAGTGTACAGGAACCTTCTGTCAGTGGCATCCAAATTCCTTTGATACCGCAACCTGACAAACCATTTAACGATTTACAGGTGGGGTACGAGGAAGAAGTCTGCACGACCTTAGTACCTACACCTGTTGTTGTTGAGTATTTACCGGATCTGGATTATTTTGAGTTACAGAGTACAAGTGAAATGCATGAAACGAGTACAACCGATGACTTGCTCGCTGTGGCTGCCGAAGATTCGGGAATTGTGCAATTCGGGAGCCTGCCACCAAACGACATGATACTTGACGCCACCTTACCAGACGTACACGAGATCACTGTACATCGCGGGTTTGTCTGTCGTGATTTGATCGCTTTTTTTTCTCACGACCAATCAAACAACTCCAAGTTTGAAATTAAAATGTTGAAGGAAGACGGAACGCAAGAAATAGCCGAGGATAATGGCGGGGTTATGCGTGACGCCCTTTCCGAGTTCTGGGACACATTTTACTTACAATATACAGAGGGAAACTCATACAAGGTCTCAGTAATACGCCACGATATGACTGGAACTCAGTGGAGAGCCGTTGCGAAAGTAATCAAAATGGGATATGGTCAGGAAGGAGTGTTTCCAATAAAACTCGCACCGTCCTTCATGCAACAGGCCATCTTTGGCCAATGCAACGACTCTGAGGTTATTGATTCCTTTCTGAAATTCGTTCCAATGATTGACAAAGTTGTGTTCGAGACTTCCTTGAAGGACTTTTCATCTGTAAGTGAAGAAATAGTCGATGTTTTGGACCAGTATGACGTAAAAACCTTGATGAACGAGAAAAACATACACAAAATTGTGGGCGAAATTGCACACAAAGAACTGATTCAAAAACCAATGTTTGTTGCAGATTCATTTCACAAGGTTCTCCAGAACACACAGCTTGTTGGAGAGGAGATGGCGCTGATTTATTCCAAGTTACTACCAAGTCCCAAAAAAGTGTTGAACGCTTTAATATTTCCGAAAGATATGAGCCAGGATGAAATGAAGTTAAGCTCGTACGTGAAGAAACTAGTCCGTGAGATGGATCAATATCAGTACCTGGAGCTATTTCTGAGATTCTGCACGGGCTCGGACCTGATGACGAAGTAAGAAATCCAGATCAGATTCACTCCTAACGACGCCTCAAAGAATGTGAGATGCCCTTCATCCCACACCTGTGGGTGTGTTCTTGAAATTCCAAGAAGCTACTCACAAGTTCCATTTGTGACCCTGAAAGCGGATTTCATGGAGATCTTAAAAAGTCGTTATTGGCAAATGGACATTGTGTGAAACTTGGGCGGTCAATTAACCTCCGGTTGTATTGAGATATTCTAAAAATTATCATTTTGGCCATATATGCGCGAGTCCTTTATCTTGCAGGTAGCAAACAAAGGATATCCTCGTATGATTCAGTAAGACTCAAAATTTACATTACACTTGATACTTCAATTTTCAGTGTATGATTGTGTTGGTCGAAAATGTGTAATAGTACGCGCACAAGTGTTGAATTGATTGTGCATGATACGCAAACATTGTATTTAGTCATCCACGAACTATTTGTATTAAGTTGTTTTTATACGCCCGTCTTGACAGGTGTATTATGTATTGCATTCCCAGTCCTTCCCTTTGTTCGTCCGTCGTTCCGTCGTTTCATTTGTCTATCTTGCATAAATGTTAACATCAAAATATCATAGACGAGTTCGAATCAAGGTCAAAGTTGCTATACTAGCCTTATATTGCATATAGCTGCTATCAGACAAGTAATTTACTTGATGGTCAATGTCATCAGGTCAAAGATAAAAGTCACGAAGGTCACATTTAGTTTCTCTTAACTGGTAGGTATTTTAGTATGACATTCAGATCATGAAAGAGGTAGGTATGTCAGGTCAAAGGTCAAAAGTTAAAAGACAAAATGTCAAGGTCACAGAGTTTTGTTGCTCACGGGTGGCAGATATTTTGTTATGACATTATGAATAAAAGTTGATCACAGTTGATTAAGCAACCATGTGCCAAAAGGTTAAAGTCAAAGTACAAGGTCAGAATCATTGAGATCAAATTTTGTTTCGACTGGTAGATATATTGGTATGGTCATATGTTAAAACTCTGAAGATCAGGTAGTTATTGTTTCATTCGATCAAATATATCCTGCACATATGAACATTAACAACACGGACGGGCGTATACTAGGTCTTTGACCTCTGTTAAACTGAATCGATGAATGGAAGAAACTATAATATTTGTCATTATCTTTTTTTACTGATTTCATTAAATTATCGAAGTGATTTTAACTGCTTATGCTTTTCATATGACAATTTATATAGATTAAGTAGCAAACCATCAGTAATTTTGATTTCTTTTTTATTTGAAACTGAAGTACACTGTCAGATTTGTTGGTTCAACTAGTAGCTGTTTCAAGTCATGCAGTTTAATATCTTGTAACCTGTGAAGGGAACCAAATATCAATACATATCCATGATAACTTTTATTTCTAATAAAGGCAAATTGCCTTTAAAACTCAGGGCATCTTCTTTTTCGTCATTTTTTGCCAAGTATCTTTCCCGTAATTTATCAGTTTTCTTATGCCGCGGAATAATATACGCCCATCCCATGCTTAAAAAAATGCATTCATTATTGTATTAAAATGAATACAAATGTGGAAATGAAACTAGAACTTTCTACTCAAGATGCCCATAAGAAAGTATCTACAAATTTCGAAAGAAGTTGGTTGGAAATAGAGGGAGAAGATCTACAGACAGGATCAACAAGAATCAAATACTGAAATAAACAAAGGGAAGGCTGTTCAGCAAACCACGACTACATATTATGATTATAAAGCCAACCAAGTTTAAAAGAGATCGATTGAAAAATGTAGGAGGAGATCCCCGGACAAAAAACAAATACTGAAATAAACAATGGGCAATAACTTTCGCAAACATTATTGATTCAAAATGACGTTCAAGAAAACACAACTTTGCATCATAGTCATAAAGCCTACCAATCGATTGAAAAATGTAGGAAATCTCCGGACAGACGGACGGACGGACGGACAACGTCATAAACCATAAAACGTCCCGTCATTCGACAGGCGTATAAAAAAGTACTGAACAGGCTATTTCTCAAACTTCATATGTAGGTTACTCTCCGTCCGTAGTTTTACATTGTGCATTTTTATACCTTTAAAAAAACCCAGTGTGACTATGTACCTTACCTAATTTTATAACACGCTAAACTATATATATATTTTAACGCCATTTGTAATAGTAAAACGATTTAACAACCCGTCGCAATTGAACATTTATTAAGTTATAATAACACTGTTCTGAGGAACCTGTGTTGGTCATTCTTAGATATCTGCCGAGGTAGAGTCCTGCAGTATGAGATTGGATAGAATCAAATTAATCAATATATATTTGTCGCTGCGGTGGCCGTAAGGATACTGTAGACATCGATAGTTAAATTCACTCTTGCAGATCGTCAAGAATTATTTCGCGAAGAAATCTGTAAAGTTGTGTTGCTTCTTCAGCATCTCGTGGCGAAGAAACATTGTATTCTGTCATGATGATGCAGCACAATTCGAAAATGTCTTTGTCGCAACGTACAGTATTTTTTGGGGTACAGATGCTTTCACACTCTTGTTCATGTTCAGGCTTCACTGGACAAGCCTGGTGATTAAATCCATATACTTCCGGTAGATGATACATTGTATTTGGCCGTCCACTTAGTGCAATCTGGTGACGGGAAGGGCGAATTCTATGTGCATTCCAAAGTTGGGCAACATCATCCAGTGTATCCTAAAAACAGCGAATAATATACTAAGAAAATTACATTCCGACATAACAATACTGAAAAACAAGCACAAACAGAAATTACTTAATTTAAACTGAGACAATATCCAATGTTGTCAGGGCAACGTTACATGAGGCCCCTAAACTACAATTTTTCGACATATACACACTTATATGAAATAAATTAGAGAACGGGCGACATTCTATTTATCTGTCACCTAAATTGCATTCATATCGACTGTATACTGCATCTGATAACAGTTCAATGGTTAAGTATATAAAAACAAATCATCAGAATATTACAAGCTGGTACTAGTAGCTTTTTCTGGGGCACAGTGAAGTGGTCCAAATCTCCGGGTGCTTTAGCCTAAGCGATCGTGTCTAAACGTTTGTCCACTAGGCTACAGTAATTATTACGCAGTTTTTTTTAAGGAAAACCGATTTAAGATATCAACTTTACCACAACAGATTTTCGCTAGTGCAAATTACTTACACAATACATGGGATTCAAAACTCACCTGCATGATCCGCATAAAGCAGAATTGTAACAGACTTTTGTCAATGAAATTCCCATCGAATTTGTCCTCATTTTTCATCATTTGAAAGAGATTTATCCATAATTGGGTAAAATGTCTGCGTAGAAAGCACCACCAAGCTTCTATTCGGTGATTGTGATTACTGGATCCATATACAAAACTTCTTGATGCAAAGGCGTCAGCATGATCTCTTCTTAAAAAAATTGCATTACTTCAACGTGGCCATTTTCTGTTCCCCTGTCAGCACGCACTCTTTTAGGGCAGGCTCCTCTCGACTTTACAGCTTTCATGAAGTAACATCCTATCAAGGCAGGATCACTATTTGAAGAATACACTTCTAACCATATGATGGACCTAGAAAAGCCGTCTATTGCACCGTTGATGCAGAATCCGTATGGTTTTAATTTGTCGTATGAGTCAATATGCCACACGAAATCTGGCCCAGGATTGTCGTAAATCCGCCTGTTTAAGCGACCCCTACGACGTTGCCTGATTCCAATGGGATCCAAGATATGAATAAGTAATCTAACTGTCTCCTGGCTGACGACAAATCCCTTTTGGGTACATTTGAGATGCAGAAGCTTGTAGCCGTGTGATTCCGTAGATTCTTGAAGCAATTTCTCTAAAAAAACAGCTACTGTTACAATGTCAGAGTAGTTCTTCCTTCGAAAAAGTCCCATGCATCCAAGCTTTCTTTTAAGAGTGCTTTTACTGATAACAACGTTGCAAATATACGCCAGATATTCTAATATTTCGGGCTGTGATAGTCCAAGCTTATGGAATAAAGCTATTGCTTCATCCATGGTTCTCTATGGCGGCGCAGATAAACTATTTTAGCGATAAGAACGTCGCGGTCGCCAGATGATTAAGTGGCGGCCGCCAGACAAATATGTGGCGGCCGCCAGATATAATATTTTCGCAATCACAAAAAACAAAAAATATTGTCGTAAGTGAGCCTAATACGCTTCCGTAGATTAGCAACTCCCTCTGTGCCTTACCAATTTTATGACACGTCAATCTAGACTTACCTCCCCCTGATTCCGGAGCAGATAGCGAGCGCCACCTATCTCAATTTTGACAAAGCAAGATGGCGTCGATACCGCTTCGTTAGATGCAGAAGTTGGTGTGAAAACAAACCAATCTCGATAAGTGTTCTTACGTCTTTTGTTTATCCCATTGTAATAAGCTGATTGTATTACTTTTAATTGATAAAATCTGTGGTATCATAGTAATTGATGTCTCGTTTTTGGGGTATATTTTTCTATTTTTAAACGCGATGTAACGCGTGGTTCAGAGTATTGTGGTGGGCGTCGATAGACAAAAATGCGGGATAAAAAAAAACACCACATGTATGTGAACCACCTCACTCCAAAAGTATTTGACCGATCTTTTTTAAATTAGCAGCAATAGAAAGCTGAATAAATTTTATAACGACCCAACCCATTTTAATTGCAAATAACATAATTTAACTTGTGTTATTTTTGTGACAAAAAGACTAAATATCAGCATTATTTTTCACTGGAACGTAAATCATTATTGCGAAAGTAGTTGGTGACTGCTCACTGTTTTGATTAAATTTTATAAACTATCGATTATATTTTT